CAAAGGGATTTGGAAGCCCCCTTTTATGAAGAGGAAATCTGGCAGGTGGTAAAGAACCTTGATATAGAAAAATCGCTAGGTTCAGATGGTCTCACTGATCTTTTCTATAAGAGCTGTTGGGAGGTGGTGAAGGATGATGTTTTGAAGGTCATCCAGGACTTCCATTGGAATGCCTCTTTGGAAAGGAGTTCAAATGCTACATGTTCTCCCTAATTCCAAAAGTAGAACGATCCACTAACATTAAGGATTTTAGGCCGATTAGTCCATTGAATAACTTTTGCAAAAAATTTGGCTAGGGTTCTAGCAGAGAGAGGTTTAGAAAGGTTCTGAATAGTGTGATAACACAAAATCAGTTTGCATTTGTGCTTTGTTATCAAATGCTGGACAGTGTCTTGGTGGCAAATGAACTGATTGACTAAGAAATAAGGAGGGCATTTCAGGGCTGATATGTAAAATGGATTTGGAGAAGATGTGATATAGTCCAATAAAAAACTATAAAATATTTCAGATTATAGCAGAAGAGAAAGTAGAAGAAGAAGAAAAGATGGAGAAGAAGGGAGAAAATTTAGAAATCAGAAAAATCATTGAACTTTTTAGGTTTAGAAAGTTTTTGCCAGATGAGGGTTTTTTTTTGGGGTTGGACCTATCAAGAAGGTGAGGAAAACAAAGAAAGATCTTAAGAGAAGTAGAGATGTCCTGTAACTCCTGTCCAAGCCACTGGAGAAGTTGAGTGACAGAATAAAGTGTTGGGTAATGTTTAAATAGTAGTTATTCATAAAAAAAATGTTTAAATTGTAGTTTAGTGTTGTGTTGTGGCATTGTTGGATTTAGCAAAGTGCTGGGGTTTTGGTATTTTTGGCTTTGGGTTGATTAGGTGGCCTTTTCGTTTAGTTGTTGGTTTGAAGGTCAAATGATTCTCTGCTTTTAAGGTTTTATATGGGTTTGGGTGGGTGTTATCAGCTTTTCTGTTTTTAAGGTTTTATATGGGTTTGGGTGGGTGTTATCAGCTTTTAAGGTATGGAGAGATTGCTTGTTTGGAGTGATTTTTGTTTGTGATGTTGAGTTTGTGGAATCGGGTTTTGGTTGCTTGTAGGGTTGATTTCTTTCTCTTCTTGGGTGATTTCTGGTCACCTTTTTTGTATCTCTTTTTTCTTTTTTATAAATTTTTATTTCACTATAAAAATTTAATCTTGTTGAATTGGTCACCAAACCGAGTTTATTTTAGGATTTGGGAAGAGCCATCCCAGTTGGCCGGGTGGAGAACATTGATAGTCTTGCCGGAGTGCTGGCTTGGAAAGTGGACCACCTCCCTATCAAGTATCTTATGATGTGTAGTTCTGCTTCATTTTGGAATCCTATGCTTGAGAGGTTGGAGAAGAAGCTGCCTTCTTGGAAGTCCAAATATCTTTTTGAAGGTGGGAGAGTTACCCTCATCAAAAGCAATTTATCTACTGTTCCCACATACTACCTTTCCTTGTTCCCAATCCCCATGAAGGTGGCTAAAACGTTGAATTAATCCAAAGAGAGTTCTTATGGAAAGGTCAGCAAAGAAGAAAAGAAGAGCCATTTGGTTAGGTTGGATCAAATCTGTTCTCTCCTTGGGGAGGGAGGGTTGGGTATTAAAAGAATAAAAGCGTTTGGCATAGCTCTCCTCAGAAAGTGAAATGGATTTGGAGATTTGGGGAAGAAATTGAGGGTTTGCGGAGATCCTGATTGCAGCAAAATAGCTTGAGAAGAGGAAATTTGGCTACAGTTGAGCATACCTCTTCCTATGGCTGTCCCTTGTGGAAGAGTATTATGAAAATTTGTAACAACTTTGCATATGGAATTATCTACAAGGTGGGGGATGGTTGGAACCTTTCCTTTTGGAAAGACCCCTGGTGTTTTTTGTTCGGAGAGGCCTCTGGAAGTGGTCTTCCTTCAGCTGTTTTAGCTTGCTGAAAACAGGGAAACTACTGTAGCTGATTGTGCCTTGAATGTGGGTGGAAATGTTGTTTGGGTTACCTAAGTTCCGTAGGAATCTTTTTGATTGGGAGCTGGGTTATGTGTGTAACCTGCTGCAGGTGTTGAAAGATCAATTAGTTAGGGAAGAGCAAAGTGATCAATAGGGCTGGAAGTGGAACAAGAATGGTGAATTCTCAGTCAAGCCTTCTTCTGAGAAACTAAATGCTACCACTGAATTGGGCTTTTTGTTGTGTGCGGATACTCTTGGGAAATGTCTGACCAATGCACATCTGCCGAGAAGGGGAATGCTGATCCAAGATACCTGCTGTATGTGTGGGCTGGAAGGAGAAATCATTTACCACCTCTGCATCCATTGCCCTGTGGCTGCGGCTCTATGGATCCATTTCAAGGTTGCAAACTTGTGTTGGGTTAGGCCTGCGGCCTGCCTCTGTTCTTGATGATATCTTGGGTAGTTGGGTTCTGCTGGGTCTAAGTAGTAGGGGGAAGTGCTTTTGGTAGGCTGTTCCTGCTGCAGTCATGGGAACAATTTGGGCTGAAAGGAATAGGAGACTGTTCACTGGTAAAAGCAGAGATGTTGATGTTCTGGTAAGGTTTGCTGTGGGCAAGGTTGTTCCTTGGGTGTCAATAGCTAAACCATTTGAGCATCAAAATTATGCCCTGCTATTTAGTTCAAAGAGTTTGTGGGAGCTTTAATTTGCATGTTTGGCCTGGGGATTGGGGCTGTTAGCTGGTGCCCTCCCTCTTCACAGGAATCTTTGTAACATTATTGGGTTTTGTCCTCTTTCAATAAAACTCAATAAAGTTTTACCTTAACTTTTTCTGATAAAAAAGTTGACTAAGGAGTCTGCTAAAGGTTTTTCGTATGGAGATTTACATAATTGATTGCTTCATTTTCTTTGTCTTATTTTCTTAACTTTTTTAATTCTATAATATTCAGAGAACAGGACCGGGCACAGAAGTGGAGAAGGGAGAGGTTCAATTGGGGTCGAACCGTACAAGCAATGGACTAAGATACCATAGGTCATATAAATACTATATATAATATATTTTACTACTTTTAATATACTTAAATATGGTGGATGGATGGAAAGTTCCTTAATTTTTAAAGCAAATGATTAGGGTTCAAGATTCTTAATTTACATTTTCTTTAAAATACATGCATAATAAAGTAATATGTACAATAAAGAGTCATTATTTAACACAAGTAAAGAGGTGGACTGGTGGTAATTAGGTAATATATGAAAATAGGAGGTCATGAGTTCAAGTCTTGTTAAACATGTTTTAAAATTTCAATTAATTAAGGACACGAGTGGTTTCATGAAACCGGGACAGGTTCACCGATTTTTCTGGTTAAACGGTACAGACAGCCAGTTTTTACCCGTTTTATAGCAAATACAATTATTGGGGTGTGACCGAACCGGCCTGGGTCCCAGGTCATGGTCAACTGGTTCGAGCAGCCAGCCTGGTCCAGTTTTCTAAACACTGGACTTCTAAACTGAGTTGGATAGGTAAGCCTAAAACCTACTAGTGCACTGTAGATCAAATGGTGTGGTGAAGCTCAATTATCAAATGCTTTGTGTTTCTTATGATCTTTTGTCTTTTCAATTCCTGGCCTTTCCTCTTCACTTTAACCATTGACCTTCTGCATTCTGTACTTTCATTTATTTGATGGACTATTTTGAAGATTCACTTTGGGTTCAGCTGTTTAGGTTTGGAATATTAAGAAAAAATGTCTTATAATTTGAAAGTGTGGAAACCTGTATCAAGAGTGAGAAAAAAGATGGTTCCTCTTCCTCATGGTCCCAATGTGGGCTCTTTTCCGGTCAGTGCCATTTTGTGGGGTCCCATCCAGCCAAGATTAGAGCATTCTGCTAGGAGGTTTATCACCAAAAGATCAACACCTGTGATGTCTTGCAGGAAAGGAGCCCAAATTAGTGCTTTTCACGTTCACCCCATGTTTGTTGCTGCTATTGGTTAAGTTGTGAAAGTGAAGTGAAACTACTCTTTACTTGCTAATTTCCTGCCCCTTTCGTTTCTCTAATTTGAGAGCATGCTTAGCCTTTTTGGATGCTGGTGGGCTCCTCCAACAGATTTGAGTAGCCTCTTTGGTGTTAATTTTTTCTCCCCAAATAATAGAGGGGGAAAGATGCTTTGGAGATGCACTTAGGCCACCATTCTTTGGGCAATTTGGGAAGAAAGAAATGCCAGAATTTTTGATGGTCAGAGCCAAACAGCTGGAGAAGTAACTGAAAATATCAAGATTTATCCAAAAAAAATGATTGAAAATATCAAATCCAAGATTGCTTCTTGGGTCAAAACCATAAATTATATAACAAGAGGCTGGCATCAGGGTCGCTAGTTCATCTATACAAGGGCCTCTATTAGCTTGTGCCTGGACTCTTCTGCCAAACACTGTTAAACTGAATTTTGATGAATGCAGTTTAGCTAATCCTAGATCAGCAAGGATAGGGGGTGGAGGAAGGTACAGTTTTGGCATTATTTTCAAGACCCATATGGCATGCCAATTCTGATTAGACAGCATTATTAGCTTTGCTGCAAGGACTGAAAATTGGGAGGACTCTAAATTATAACTCTAAATTATAATAATTTACTGGTTGAAGGCGATTCTATTTTGGTAAGCAGGTGACAAAATAAAAGAGCAGGTCCATGGCATACTATTAAGAGAAGTGAACAGAACTGCAATAGAGTCGAGAGCCCCATTTTATTGGGTGAACAAGACGGCAAATTGTTTGGCAGGTGCATTGGCAACTGACAAGACAAGGGGCTAGTAGGAGCACTTTCACTTGTACAGTTGTACATCATTTATCATTCTGATTTTAATAGAAATCTCTTGTTACCCATAAAATAAAAGCTCAAAAGAAATTTTCTTTTCCATTGTGAGGTGTAACAAACTGTGACATTATGTTATGGCATATGGTTTATTAGAAAATGACTACTCTTTTGTTTCACAAGTATAAAATGAAACAGTTGATCCTGACATGGTTATTCATCCTTTGTTTTTGCTTATGCTACAGGAGAATATTTGCATTTAAAACCTGTATATGGGGACTCCAGCCCATAAGGAATATGCAGAATTTCAAGAGAAAGTCAAGAGGACAGTCTATGTTGACAACCTGTCACCACAGATCACAGAAGCTGTCTTAAAAACTGCACTCGAACAGTTTGGAAATGTCAGAGATGTTCAGTTCATCCCAAACTATACAGAGGCAAATGAAATCCCCCAGTGTGCCTTGGTGGAGATGGAGACAGCAAAGCTAGCTAAAGCAATTATCATGGAGATGACTGACTATCCTTTCATGTTGGGTGGGATGCCAAGGCCTGTTAGAGCCCGTGCAGCTGAAGTGGAGATGTTTAGTGATCGTCCCATAAAGCCTGGTAGAAAGATACAGATTCGTTGGATGGATCCCAAGGATCCGGATTTTGAAGTTGCTAAGAAGTTGAAGCACCTTACAAAGAAACATGTTGCAGAAGCTTCGCTGCTTCTCAAGGTAGATCTTTGTTTTATTGTTATATTACCAAATTTTCTTGTGGTGATATACTAATATTTGGTGAAAAAAGGTGAACTGCAATGATTTTATATATAAAAGTAGGATATTGATGTTTGAGGGTTGGGCAGTGCTAGGAAAAGGCAAGTAATAAAGGATCTGCTTAGGAAGGAGAATACAAATATAGTCAAGAAACAAAAGTCGCAAAAATGGATAGAAGATGGGTGAGGAGTGTGCGGGGTTCTAGAGCATAGGATGGTCCTTTATACCATCATGAGGTGCTTTGGGGGGGCTTAGTAACATTATAGAAGAACAAAACGACAAAGCCACTGGAAGAATTGATAGGTTGATTCCCACTCTCTCAAATTCTAGAATGTGGGTGATGGCTTCACTAGGGTGATGACGAACATCTATGGACCTATTAGTTATAGAGAAGGAGGTGAAATGTAGGGGGGGCTCTTTGATGTTAGGGGTTTGCCATGGGCCTTGGTGCTTAGGTGGGGTTTTTAACATGGTCAAGTTCACTAATGTGATGAGTAATCCCAATCAGGAAATATCCACTAGCATGGGGAAATTCAATAGAGGGGTGTGAGCCGAAGGAAATTCCCACCTTGTAGAGTTTGTTCACTTGGGCGAATCTACAAATCCCTCCCAGCTTCTCCAAGTTGGATAGATTTATTTTTAATCTTGAATTGGAAGAACATTGGGTTGAGTTGGAGGCAAGAGCTTTACTGCATGTTACTTTTGACCTTTGCCCGATTAGTATTGGAATTAAAGACTCCATGAGTGGCCCCAAAGCCTTTAGGTTCGAAAATATGTGGTTCACACATCTTGACTTTTTCCAGAAGGTTGAGGATTGGTGGAGAGAAGAGTGCGAGGAGTTTGGTGGAAAGGCGTAAGATTTCATAGGAAGTTGCAAAATCTTAAATGTGAATCTAAAGAGTGGAATAGAGATCATTTTGGAAGAATTGAGGATAGGAAACTAATTGTAATTTCTCAAATCGAGCTTTTGGATGTAAAGGGGAGTCAAGGTGTGGTAAGTGAGGAAGACGGGATTATGAGATGATACTTGAAAAAGGAGTTGGAAGAAATCCTTTAGAGGGAAGAGATAAATTGGAGACAAAAATCAAGGCACCAATGGATTAAAGAGGGGGATGGTAATACTAAGTTTTTTCATGCACTTGCTAATGGTAGAAGAAGAAAAAATTTTGTGGAGAAATTAGAAGTGAATGGAGAAGCTTTGGTTGATCAAGAAGAGATTGCTAGTTGCTTTGTGGCTCACTTCAAATCAGTTTATAGGAGACAAGAGAATGTGAGGGCTACTTTGGGAGGTTTTGAATGGCCTTGGTTGAGTCTAGAGTTGGTAAGAATGTTGGAAAGGGGTTTTGATCCGAAGGAGATAAGGGGGGCAGTGTTCTCAATGGATAAATTAAAAGCCTCTAGACCGGATGGTTTTACTATGGCATTTTATCAAGGTTGTTGGGAGTAGGGGTGTTCATTATATGGATCACTTGCTAATGGTAGAAGAAGAAAAAAATTTGTGGAGAAATTAGAAGTGAATGGAGAAGCTTTGGTTGATCAAGAAGAGATTGCTAGTTGCTTTGTGGCTCACTTCAAATCAGTTTATAGGAGATGAGAATGTGAGGGCTACTTTGGAAGGTTTTGAATGGCCTTGGTTGAGTCCAGAGTTGGTAAGAATGTAGGAAAGGGGTTTTGATCCGAAGGAGGAGATAAGGGGGGCGGTGTTCTCAATGGATAAATCAAAAGCCTCTGGACCGGATGGTTTTACTATGGTATTTTATCAAGGTTGTTGGGAGTAGGGGTGTTCATTATATGGATCAAACTGCAAAACCGAACCGAACCAAACCAAATTTGTAGTTTGGTTTGGTTTATACCTATACATGGTTCAGTTTGGTTTGGGAATTTTCTAAATTGCGGTTTACAATTTTGGTTTGGTTTATTGAATTTTATAAACTGAACCAAATCGTAAACCGTAGGCCAAAATTATATATATAATATGAATTTATGATATATACACATTATATATAATATATCTAAAATTCTAAATGGAATGCTAAAATTATAAATATATAATGAACTCTTTATTTATAATGAAATAATAAATAAAAGTTTTAAGTTTTAAGTTTTAGGGGAGCTATTTGGGTTGGGTTAAGCTCAATAGAATCATAGAATGGTCCAAAGCCCCCAAACCATATTAGAAACTGCACCAAATTGTAATAAAACGATTTGATTCGTTTCAATACCAAAATGGTTTGGCTCGATTTAGAAATTTTGCAAACCGTAATTTATTAGTTTGGTTTGAGATCTTCTCCAAACCACACTAAACCGGACCATAAACACCCCTAGTTGGGAGGTAATTAAATCAGACCTTTAGGCAGATTTTGAGGAATTTGCTATTGAACGCTTTACTAGCCTAGGGATTAATTCCACCTTCTCAGCCTTAATTCCAAAGAAGGGAGAAGCCACCCAGCCAAGAGATTCCGGACCAATTAGCCTGGTAACTAGCATTTATAAAATCCTAGCAAAGGTGTTGTCTTTGAGATTGAAGCTAGTCCTTACCATCTTGATAAGCCACCCTCAAGGGGCATTCATTCAAGGTAAACAAATTACAAACCAGATCTTGATAGTTAATGAATGTGGAGAGGATTTTAGAAAAAAGGGAACGAAGGAATTTGTGTGCAAATTGGACTTGGAGAAAGCTTATGACATGGTTGATTGGTCTTTCCTTATGGATAGTTGAAGAAATTTTGGGTCTGGAGAGAGGTGGTGTGGATGGATAGAAGGGTTTGAGGTAAGGGGACCCCTTCTTTCTCTCCCTTTATTTACCTTGGTGGTGGAGGTGTTTAGTTGTCTTATCTCTAGAGCTGTTATTTTGGGACTGTTTAAAGGCTAGAGGATTGGGGGAAAGAGCATTGCTGTTACATATTTACAGTTTGCCGGCAATACAATTATCTTTTGTGAGAGTGATGATCCTCAGAAGTCAAGGAATCTGAAGCTGGTAATAAAGTTGTTTGAATTTGTCTCTAAATTGAAGATCTATTTTGAAAAGTGCTGTGTAGTGGGGTTAAATTTGGGGGGTAATTGCTGTTACATATTTACAGTTTGCAGGCGATACAATTATCTTTTGTGAGAGTGATGATCCTCAGAAGTCAAGGAATCTGAAGCTGGTAATAGAGTTGTTTGAATTTGTCTCTAAATTGAAGATCAATTCTGAAAAGAGCTGTGTAGTGGGGTTAAATTTGGGGGAGTAGTAGATGATTGGGGTAGTAGAGGCCCTAGGCTGTCCTATTACTAGCTGGCTGTTGAAATATCTAGGTATGCCTTTAGAAGCCAACCCTCGGGAAGCAAGTTTTTGGATCCCAATCATTGAAAGATGTGCCAAGAAATTATTAGCTTGGAAGAGGAATTGTGTCTCTAAGGGGTCACATCACCTTGATTAAGTCGACCTTAGTGAGCCTCCTAGTTTTCTTCCTTTTGGTCTTTAAGATGCCACATAGGGAGGTTTTGAAAGCAATGTTTTAAAAAGCGGAGGCGTGGCTTTTGAGGCGTTTCACTACCTAGAGGCATGAGACGTAGTTCAGAACATAAGAGGCGTAAGCCTCCCGAAGACAAGGAGGCATAAGCCTCCTTAAGAGGAGGGGAAGGAGGAGGAAGAAGAGGAAGGAGGAGGAAGGGGAGGAAGAAAAGGAAGGAGGATCATTTTTCTTTATTTTTAATAAAAATATTTTATATTAAGAAGATGAAGATGCATAGCACTAGGTGAACGGGGGGGGGGTCTTTTCGAAGCAGAGGTGAGCGAGCGAGCTGGAGTGGACTCCTAATCCTTCTAGAGCTTTCAGCTGTGCTTCTTTCTTTAAAACCTTGTCCTCTCCTGTTCAACCTGGGGTGCACTTCCCAATCCGAGAAGTTTGGTGTCGCCCTATTACCCACAACGTGGGTGCTTTCTGTTGGGAGCTCTACCTTGGTGCAAATTAACACCTGTGATCTGATGTAGAGGAGGTGGCTTGGCTGGTGCCTTTCACCCAATAGGTGCTGTTTGTGTGAGACCAGTGGTGAAAATTGCCTTTCATATTTTTGTCTCCTGTCCTGTTGCTAGCTGTATTTGGGAATGGTTCTTTTCTCTATTTGGATGCAGGTGGGACACCTGATGAGCTTGGAAAAGGCTGTTTGACCCCTCTACCTTTAGATGGCCAAAAAGAAGAGGCAGAACACTGGAGATGCACATGAGCTGCTGCAGTGCTTTGGGTGTTATGGGAGGAGAGGAATTTGAGAATTTTTGAAGAAAAGAAAAGGTGCAAGGAAATGCTGATAGAAGGGATTACAATAAAAGTGATCTCGTGAGTAAAGTCTGAGATTATTCTCATATTTTAGTACAAGACGATATACTCAGAAATAGGAGGAAAGTAGCATCATCCTTGACTCATCTCAGCAAAGGTCTTAAGAAGAAACTGGGACCCCCCTGAGTCTGGTTTCCTCGAATTAAACTTTGATGGGAGCAGCTTTGGTAACCTATGTATGTCTGGAATTGGAGGGGTTATAAGAAATGACAATGGGATTGTGGTGGGGCTGTATTGGGGCCCTATTGGATGGGGAGATTCCATTACAGCTGAACTAAAGGCAGTAGTTTTGGGGATACAAAAATCTATGGAACTAGGAGTGAGAAAGTCGGTTGTCGGAGGTGACTCCAAAGTGATTATAAGCTGGCTAAAGCAGAATGAAAAGACTTCCTGGTTGTTCAGAAATTAAATCAAGAAGCTTAATCACCTTGCCAAGGACATGCAGTTATTAATTCAATGGACTCAAGAGCAGCAAATGGTTTTGCAGATCAACTAGTGAAACAAGGGGTTTACAGGGAACAATGTTTTTGGGCTCAGTTGTAAGACTGAAAATCAAAAGTTGATAGGTGTCCAAGTTTTAAATACTAGTGGGGTAGCAGAGGCTACTTAGTTTCTTTACTGTTTCTCAATTTAATTTTCTTAATGAAATTCTCTTTACTTGTAAAAAAAGAAATAACAGAATTTTTTATGACAAAGAAAGGGATCAGGATTCTGTGTGGGAATGTCTGCTGTTTAGGGTTATTAATTGGGCTAAAGCTATAGATCTATTCTCACTTTTCTCCTTTGATGACATATGGAGAAATTGGTAACTAGTTGCTAAAGCTTCTTCAGTCAAGGACAAACCTGTCATAGCCTGGAAGCCTCTGGAAGCAAGGTTCACAAAACTAAACTTTGATGGAAGCAGCCTTGGTAATCCTGGGCCCTCTGAGATTGGGGGGGAGTTTTCAGGAATGCAGAGGGCCAGATAGGCTTTATTCTCCGGTCCAATTGGGATGGGGGACACGGTTAGTGTAGAGATCCAAGCTGTTTTTTAGGGGGTTCAAATTTCTAAAGAGTTGAACCACAGAAATCTGGTCATAGAAGAGGACTCCAAAGTGGTGGTAATAGGGTGGCTGAAAGAACCAGAGACAGCGGCTTGGTCTTTCAGGAGTGCGATGAGAAGATTCAAATGTAACTTCTAATATAACAGTCAGAATTCTGTGGGACTTGGGAAAACTAAATGCTGTATCAATTGTATACCCATTAAAAAAAATAATGGAATGCTTTATTATTCATAAAAAAGATGTTATATAGTATACTTTTTTATGATATTAAACCATGATGATCTCTCTTCAGCCAATCTCTGCCTACAAGAGTAGTCTTTGAATTCAGGGATGATATTGCCATTTCCATTCAAACTTACTATGCCTAGGAATATTGTTTAAAATTCAAATCTTTCTCTTTTTACAGCATCAACTTGAAGAAGAAAAGAAGCTTGCATATAGTCAGGCAGAGAATCTTGAAGTAAACTACAAGAAGTATGAAATGATAGACAATCTCATAATTGATGGCACTTTTCGGCGGTTGTCTTCCAAATACAATTTGGAATTACAAGATAGTTAATTAGATTTTCATGTTATATTATTTTGTACCAAGTTATCTTTTTCCATTTATTGGTAATTGCTATTATGGTCATTTGCGGTGGTGATATATTTTTTGCTGCTATTTTGTTAACCATTCCTTGTGTGCATAATCAATTTACCTTGGGATGGTATGAGATCTAATTTACCTTGCTTAGGAAGGCATCTGAACCATGCTGGTGTCGTATTGCTTAATACATTGTTACTTTATAACAATGTTTGGAGCACCAATGATGATAAGATCAGTTTTACCTGCAAAAGCGTTTGATGATGGTTCAATGGCGAGTCTGTTGCGCATCAGAACTTTCGGCCGATATGTATTGTTTCGGTAAAAGTTCGATACATGGAACACAGAAATTATCTGTAATGTTCCTTTTCGTATGTATCAGTCTGTGTTGGACTTTTTGGTTTGTATTGGTCGACAAGGTTCAGAGTATTGATATGTAGTAGCTCGTATTGATCAATATGTATCGTGGGACCCCTCTGATATGCTCCTATAGTGGGTGTATCGGGGTCTGATCGGTTCAGGGGGTAGAGAAGCTCTAAACTGGCCTCCTTTGAATTGGCTTTGAAAAAAAATTAAAAAAAAGTAAAAATGCATCGATTCGCTTGATATGCCCCTACTTTTGAACCTTGTTGACCGATACAAGTCCCCTTCTTTTTCATTAATTTCATTTAATTATATTTAGGGTTGAATTGCCTCATTAATTTTATATTTACTCTTAAGTGTAATTTCTCTCATTAATTGGTTATTTATTTCTATAATTAATGCATAATTTTAAATTTGAACTTCAGTTTTAGCGCCTAATTGAAATTCTCTTCTCATTCATTTCGTTAATAACTTTCTTTTTAATTAAATTTGTTTTGTTAGTATAAAACTACAGACTTGACAATAGCAAGATTCAAATCCTGGCCATTAGGCTTTAACAATTGGAGGTTCACCACTAAGCCATGCCCATTTGTTTGTTATAGGTTTATGGATTTTTATTGTTAATGTATGTTTATCAATAAATGTTAGAATTAATTATTAAAATTTATGTATTAATAAATAATAAGATAAATTATATTGTTTATTTTAAAATAATGTATATCAATATACATTTTAGTTTTTTTGTTTTTTCACGTTTTAATTTTCCATCATTTGCCAATAATTACTAAGTGTGTCTCGATATCTCGAATTTTATATAGACTAGTAAATTATAGATTTTTTTTACTTTTAAATAACTTGTTTACAATCATATAAAACCTATAACTATCGTTATTAATATATTTAGGATTTATTTGAGTTTTTTAACATATTTATGTGTATCTTGTTTTTTCGTTTGTATCCATATGTATTCAAAGCGATATGTATCCATACATATTTATGTGTACCTGTAACTATCGTTATTAACATATTTATGTGTATTTTGGCCGATATGTATTGTTCTGACAAGAACCTGATAGGTGGAACGTGTAGGAATCTTTTGTTCCGTTTTTTTTCTCATGCATTGGCCGATACGGGCCTGTATCGGGCTGTTTCGGATATGTATCAGCCTGCCTATGTGTAAAAACTTCAAATTTTAACAATAATAAGATTTGAACCTTAGTCACTACTTTTAACAAACATAAGTTCGCCAATGAGCCACACATATTTGTTTGCTATGATTATATGTATTTTTTATTTTAAATAAATTTTCACTTTTCTTAATAAGTGACAAGTGTATTAATAAATTTTAGAATTAATTATTAAAATTTATATATTAATAAATATTAAGATTAATTATATTGGCTTTTGAAAATTGACATTCATAGTTTTGTTTTGTTTTTTTTTTTTATTTTACATTTTAGTTATTCCATCATTTTTAAATGGTTACTAATTGTGTCCCGATATGTCATACTTTATATAAACTATTAAATTATAGTTTTTTTACATTTAAATGGCTTATTTGCAATTATATAAAATTTGTAAATATAGTTAGTAATATATTTTTTAAGATTTATTTGCATTTTCTACTATATTTATGAGTATCTTAATTTTTTGTTTGTATCCATACGTATTCAAAGCGTATTTCGATATATCTCTTAAAATTGTCTTTCCAATACCTTACGTTTCCGATACTTTAAACCTTGGAATTAGTGACACAAATTCTGGATACAGGTTGAAGGCACATTGTTAGTTTACATCTTACAGAAATAATGTAAAATGCTTACAAACCCAGACTGGAATGGCTGGTTGGGTTAGAATATCTTGCAATTAGGGCCCATCAGTTGCTCGGAGCACAAGAGTTCCAAACACAGCAATTTTTTTAAAAATCAACCCAGTGGAGGCCAGCTGTTAAACATATCAGAATACAAGGAAGCAAAACTGTTTTCTAGTTCAAGAGGGAATTGGATCTGCTCCTCACACTTAGGTGCCTCACATGCACATTCATTGTGCATTGGGAACATTTCCCGTGAAAAATAACTTGCAAGTATGAGAGATGTTACCAATGCATGGTAGGATGTGCATGTAAGGCATGTGTGAGGCGTCCTATATGAGAAGCAGATCCGATCTCGTTCAAGAGTAGTTCAGTGGTTCAAATCAATGTTTTAAAAATCAGCTTGAAGGCTGAACCATTTTCGCCTTTGAGTCATAGGTCCCTGTTTTGCGTATTCGGTTGAACAAGTCACATTGTGCGACATCAGTAATATGTAAATTCATACATATATATGTTTATAGGTATGTATAAACATGTATTTTATCACTTAATAAAAATACATAAAGACCTTGGAGCCTTGTCTTCGTTCCATGGAAGCCTGGGTTTAACCCCCTTAGGGTCGTACTAGATTTAGCTGACCTGTGGATAAGGCTCTAAGGCCTTTCCCTTGAATGTTGGTCTAAGGACGACCTGGAGATAATTTCAAGAGATGTGGGTCCAGTTTTGAAATTGGATGACGAGACCATCAAGATGACAAGGACGATCTACCCCAGGATTTGTGTTAAAATCGACCTCAATAAGCCCTTCATCTTGGAATCCCTCTCACTTTAGGAGGGTTCTAGGACCATATTAATCTTTGATTTATGCATAAATTGTGGGTGGATGGGACATAAATAGTGTCCAAAAGGCAAAAAAAAAAAAAAAAAAAGAAGGTAGTGCTGATGCCTTAGGAAATGATGATAATATGGAATAAGAGGAAGGGGAGGATGATGAGATCAACTGGAATGATCAACAACAACTGAAATGATCAACAACAGCTGGAAGGAGAAGAGTTCATGGAAAATCAAGACGATAAAAAACTTAATCGATGCTGATGATATTAATCTGGAAATTGCAATACAACATGGGCCCGAATGCTTTCATTGTTAACAATGCAGATACTTAGCTAGAAGCCTGGAATCATTACAAAAGAAGGGACATTTACCAACGGTTTAAATCTGTTGGTAAAAGATAAAAAATCCGTTGGTATAGGTTAAATTGGCTTATACCGATGGCCAATCACTCCGTAGGTATAGGCATTGTTGCTATAAAGTTTTAGCAACGGATTTGAGAACTGTCATATAAATCAATGGGCAATACTGGCAATTTCAGGGTTACTAACAACGGTAATAAATCTTGGTACAGATGAAGAAAACCTTTGTCGAGATCTTTAGTAATGCATTTTGTACACCCTTTAGTGATGGATAACTCGTCAGCATATGTTTTACCAACACACCTACCCATCGGTGAAGATTTCATAAATGTTTCTTTTTTTTTCATGCATTTTTTGATTAAACACTGACGGAGCGTCTGTAGGTATACATGTACCAATGCTTCTTTCCATCTGTAAAAACCCTTTTACTATATATATTTTGATTTTTTTCAGACATTTTTTTATCTTTATTAGTGACGAAAGAACCGTTGGTATAATAACTTTTACCAACAGAGGTAACTATTGGTACATGTTGCAATAGTGACGGTTTTTTTCATATATTTAGCGACGGTTTCTTCCATAATGTTCATAGAATTAGTGATGGGTTGTTTAGTCAACATATGTCACCCCTTTGAGATTATTCCATTCCAATTAGTGGTGTTTTTTTTCTCCATATTTCTTCTTATAGAATATATTTTAAAAATATCATATTATTAATCATACATGCAAATAAATATACATCCAAAATTCATTTCATTAAAGCAAAAACACACATAACCCTTACTGCAATAAAGTGCATGTTTAATCATCTAGTTTAACTGGCTAAGTTGCAATGTATTCTAATAAGAGAAAGAATTTCAAGGGGTAGGTTTTGCTCTTAGTTGTCCCAACTTCCAAGAGAGAAAGATAAAAGGCGAAACAAATTCAAAAGATGGGTTTTGCTCTTAGTTGTTCAAACTTCCAACTTCTTAAATCACACATGCACACAAATTAATATATTTAAGTAATTAGTTTAAATTAAAATTAATTTTGTATAAAGACACAAAGAAAAAGATGAAAAACTAGAGAAATCAGTTTAAACACTTACCATCTTGTTATGGCCTTATGGGGTAATATGATGACTTAATTATGAAGAGGGTGAGCGCCCATTTGAAGAATTGAGTGGAGCACTACATCAAGAGCCTATTGAAAATAATAAATATTATAAAAGGCACATCATCCATAAATAATGTTGATTACAATTAAAGAATTTTAAATTAAACAAGTATACGTACCTCCTCATTGGTTTTAAGTTTAGCTACACTTACAAAAATAAATAAGTAGATGGAAAGGGATGCACTAATGTTGTCATGATGTGAACACCGATTGGTATTGTTGATCACATATATTCACATAAAAGCATCTTACAAGAAAAATAAATAGATGGAAAGGGATGTCAACATCTGTTTACTTATAGCCTGCATGGACTTTGGATGCCATGTGAAATGAACCATTTCATTTCAATCTGATTTAACATTTTAATTCACATTATCATCATCCAGTCAGAACAATTACATATCTTCTACCTTTAAGGCCCACCAAACAACTTGTGATATTTTCTGCTTGTTCTAGATCTGTTCTCTAAAGAACTCATCTAGCAATGGTTGCACTATGCTGATTACCAGTAATATCAGCCACAAAACAAGGTCTGTTTTCTTACTACAAGACCAAAAATGGACTCAGACTCATCTCATCTATGTTGCAATCTTACCAAGCATAGGTATAAATCTTGAACTCCTTACCCAAATATGCATTACTGACCATGAATGGTCATGGTCTGTTTCTTACAAACAACAGCTACTGCCACTGCTTGGCTTCAGACATAAAACCAAAGAAGAGCATAGAGTGCACCAAAATAGATCTAGTAAAACTAGGTGCAAAGTTCCCATTCAGATGTTAGTGCTTCAGTCATTAACTGGGTGCTGTTTGCAATATTGAAGAGAAGATGGAGAGAGAGAAAGGTGATAAAACTTAGAATCACTCAAAGTTCTGAGGTCTTGGTGTTGAAAATGGCTAAGACCTCACTACCATTGAAGAAGTTGTTTGTGAGTTGTTGAGAAGACAAGGTACTACGAGATCAAGAGGCCCAACTTATGTTAATTCAATTCAACTAAGAAAGGTGCTTGACTCTGAGTTGGACTGCTCTCTAGACAGCCTAGACTACCTCCCAGGTTGTAGGAAGGTGAAAAGATTGTCAGACCTCTACAATGCTGCGGTGTCCAAGCCGTGAAGTAAAGGTTATGGCAGTATCAGGGAAGGGGAAGAGGGGTTGGGGTAGGAAAGTATTGTATTAAATCCCTTCTCAGATTTAATTAATTCAAAATGAACTAACTCCTAAACAAGCATAATCTATAAGTACTTAAATAAGCTCCATTTGTGCATGTGCAAGATGTGTGTATACATATATATGAATTGAAAGCCAATAAAAATCCTAATAGAGCTAAAAATCATAATTGAAAATTATAGAATTGCCACCATCCCATTTTAATTACAAAATTTCCACTATCCCACTTTCTATATAAAATATGAAAATACATTAAAAAATTCAGCAAATCCCATGTATAGTCACTCTGTCTCCTATTTTATATCCATAGCAATACTAATCTGTGCTGAGAGGTTAGAATTTTCTCTGAAGGACTTCCCCATAGGCCACTAAAGGTCAAATAAATGATGCCATTTTAGCTCAGTAAAGGTTTCAAGGAAAACGTATTTGTAGTAAGAAGTCAGTGATGACCTATTGCAGGGGAAAACTCAGACCAGGAAGCTGGAAAAGTGGATTTTGGAAATTGAGGATGAACAAGTGATACCAAAGTTCTTAGTTCTCTTTTTAGTTTCTAAGTAGTCATTCATTGTTATTGAATGAATATGTGTTGGTCACTTTCCAATGGCATTTTAGTTACTTATAGTTGGGTGTCAGAGGTGTTTGATGTGAAAGAAAGAACATATTATATTGTTTTAATTAGGAGAAAAGTGTTGACTCATTAGTGTGACAGGAGTTATAATGGAATCATGGTTACTACCTCACCATTTGGTGTAGCACTCAGATAACATTCCTGCATAAATAAACAATGACAAGCTTTAGATGATACAGTGGATAGAACTCAAAGAAGTGAAGCATGAGGTCGCATTGGATATCTATCAGGCATGTATGGTTTATGAGCGAATCCGGTAAATTACATTTTGTAGTAACCAAAAGGGTTTTGAGATATGTCAAAGGAACTAAGAAATTTGGAATCTTGTAGAAGAAAGAAGAAGGTTATAATCTAATTGGCTATACAAACAGTGATTGGACTAGCTAGATTTATAGATGATTGGAAAAGTACATATTCTACTTGGATGGATCCAAGGTGATTTCTTGGTGTTCAAAGAAACAAAAGATAGTATTATTGTCATTAGTCGAGGCCAAGTATGTCTCAATAGCAAGTGTAAAATCTGAAGCTAGCCATATATGGTTAAAAAGAATCCTCAAAGATATTCATTTTGAGCAAATAGATCTAACCTCCATCCTCTGATTACGATGACAAAGAAATAATCCAGTTTTTCATAGCCGTTCAAAGCACATTGAAGTATGACACCATTTCATTAGAGAAATTGTTGAGGAAGGATATCAAGCTGAAATTTTGCCCTACTGAAGAGTAGATTACTGACATCTTTACAAAGCTTCTCAATTGTGAGAAGTTCACTCAATTTCAACAAGTGTTGGGAGTTTATGAAGTTACAAATTAAGGGGGTGTTGATTGTTAAACATTAATTTGTAATTTATAAAGCTCAATTATGAATATGGGAGTTAAACAAAAGAATAAGGGAACTGGAGAGTCAAAAATTTAAAAGATACATGAATGTGACTCTTGGAGTCCTGATGAGAGTTAATATGGACTTATGGAGAGTAATTTCTTTTCCTAGGTAGTATGAAACCTTGCCTATAAAAAACAAGGCATCCATTTGTGTAATCTAAGAAGATCATATTAGTAATACAATCTTCTTTAGTAGAAAAGAGTTCAAGATTCTAAGCAAGTCAATTTTTCTCATGTATTAGTAGTCTTGTATTTATCTACTAGTTTGTTTGATGTTTTAAGCAGTGAAAAAGTCAAATATTGAGATGGCATGACAAAAAGTTCTGGTTCGAGAAGACCAACATTAGCTCTATGATAGTGAGAATGCTAACTTGGTGGAGCAAATTACAACTTAGGGTGTGTTCGTTTTTTGGATTTTAAGAGGGGGAAAGTTGGTTAATAGGATTTTGCTTCCTATTGACCAATAAACCCATGCTCTTTTTTCATATTTATGTGGAGACTAGGGAAAAATTATTTTCTTAGGTATCACTTACCCATGTGGATAAATAACTTTCCTACATGAGAGAAAGTTGCCAACACTTGAATAGGACAAAAATGCCCCTTTTAATAATGGATTGTTATGGCTAAAACAGTAATTGTCTTATTTACTTGGGAAATAAAAAACACATGGCTAAATGTACTTACCCAGATAAACGTTTCTTGGGTAAATACATTTACTTGGATTAACTTGTTGAAAATCGAACAGGGCCTTAAAGATCTTTAGACCGTGGTTTTCAAAACCAGACCGAACTGCGCGGTCGGACTGGAAAAATCGGGAATCAGTCAAGTGACCGGTTCCGGTTTTCCCCAAAACTAGATTTTCTCCAAAAATGTTGATTTTGGTCAGCAAACCGCTGACCCAAGCGATTAACTGTTTGAACGGTTTTGACTGGTTTTCATTTTTTTTATTTTTTTTGTCAGAACAGGCCGACCATTCAGTTCGAACGATTGGACTGTCCGACCCAATAACCGGACCCCTGACCCGTTCATTCTCTGGATCGATTTTAAAAACATGCTTTAGACAATGCTTGCTCCATTAAGTTATGGCAAGAGTTTTGACTAAAGATCTTTAAATTGTAATATGTTCCACCAAGTTAGCTTTCTTGTTGGCATAAAGCTGGTTATGAGCATAATGTTTAGCTTGTCCAACTTGAGCATAAAGTTAGCATTCTCACCTTCATTTTAGGATAACTTGCTAAAGCCTCAAAAAAATCAGTCTCTAAGTTAAATAGAAGATTCAGATCTCATGATAAAATATTCCAATCCAGCAAATTTTCCACAAGATTACGTTTTCATATTTTAGATCATAAATTACACAGTCTCGGTCCCCAAAAGCCACCAACCACCAATGCAAAAATAGATGCAATCCACTAGTTCCCCACTAGGTAGAACTTTCCAGTAAAATTAATTCCATTAACTAGTTAATCAGTTGGCCCGCAAAACTAAATCCGGACCTCCCCATTTATATCAGTGGCTCCAATTCCAATCCATTAATTTTCTTGCGGGATATCTAAAACTCACATTACTTTTTTTTTTTTTTTTTTGCATTTTTCTTAAATTTATCATAATTTTTCAGAACATCTAAAGGGCCCCAGTCATTAAGTTTCATTGACTAACAACTCACTTTCCTTAAGAGTTAAGATTTCTGTTTTATTTTTTTATTTTTTAAGTGCATTAAGATTTCTGTTAAATCACCGCTAGTGTAGTGATTATTTATAAAAGTTGTCTATATAAATATTTAAGTATTTTATATGACTAAATTATCTTTAAAGTGGTCAGTCAATCTTATTAAATATTTTTAGGGGTGTTTATGGTTTGGTTAATCGAATTGTAGGCCTTTTTTGTAATCGAATTGATACTATCGGTTTTTGGAAAACTGAATCGAAGTTAATCGATTAACTGGTTGATCAATTTGATTAATCGTCGATTTTTCAGTTTTTCTTTTTAACTTTTATAATATATAATAAAAAAAATAAATGTATATAATATTATATTTTAAATAATAAATAATGTATCATATATTATAAATATATATATATTTATATATAATGCATATTTATTAATTTATAAAATATAAAATATTAATATATAATATATATATATATATAATATACATAAATATATAAAATATATAGAAATATATGTATACTGGTTGGTTCGGTTAACTACCGGTTTTCTATATTTGTTAACCGCAACTGAAATCGAACCAGAACCTTCGATTTTTTAAAAACATTGAACCAAAACCGAACCAACCAGTTTTGTTAACCAATTTTTTAGTTTGATTTCGATCGATTTGACTTTTCGATTTTTTTTCATCCCTAAATATTTTTATAACAAAATTACCCCTAAAATGACCAATTAATATTATTCCAGACTCTATTACAAGTATATGAGGTAATTTTGTCAAAAAAAATATTTAATAACTTAGATTGGCCATTCAAGAATAATTTCATCATATAAAATACTTGAAAATTTTTATATGTATTAATAAGTTGTGTAGATATTTTTCAAAGTTATTATAAATTTAAAAGAAATATAAAAAAATGAGGGTGAATTTAGATGATTTCCTTTTGCTTGCAGGCTTGCACCAAAAGTGGCAGTGGGTTGGTTGGTGGCAGTAACTCAAAGATAAAATACTACAATCGTTATCCTTGATGAATAGTTTGGATGGAGACACACGTTACAAAGCACAAAAAACCAATGACTTTTATGGTTCAATTTCACTGGTTACGGTAATTTGGTGTCGTTGGATCAATGGATGGGTGGGTGTAGTCAACTAAAAGTGCGGCCATCTCTTTCGTTTGCAGCTGGTCCATTTAAATACTGCTTTTGGCCTTTGACAAATGCACAGTATGTTAATTAAGAGAGAGACTTGGGTGGTGGGTGTCTTGATTTTCTCACTCTTTGTTCTCATCCTTTCTTCCACACCAGGGATCACACTTGCGAAGGAGTCTAGCTGCACCATGAACAGTCACGGCGGCAATGGAGGTGGCAGTGGTGGCGGTGGTGGTGGTAGTGGTGGAGGGAGAAGCGGCACAGGTGATGGGAGGTGGGACTTCCGTTGGGGATCAGGTAATTCTGCAGATGGAAGGTGGGACTACCGTTGGGGTGTAGGTTCAGGCCCTGGGGGCACTTGGGGTTTTGGCTCTGGTGCTGGCCGGTCTGGTGAAGGTGGTGGCGGATTTGGGTTCGGATGGGGCAGCTCCACTTCAACTAATGGTGGTAGTGCTGGTTTTGGTTCTGGAAGCGGTGGTGGTGGCGGTGGCGGTGGCGGTGGCGGTTCTGGCTTTGGATTTGGGCGTGGTGGTGGGTTTAGTGATTGTGGTGCCAATTTTAATGGGATGTTTGGGTTTGGGAGAGGCTATGGTAGTCCAAACCCAGCAAGGCCTGAAGATGGCAATAACAACAACGATGTTAATAATAACAGACCTGGGTCCAGGACCTCCAGGTAGAATTGGCTTCTTCTGTAACTACATACATATTTTATGTTTTCTCTGCAATAATTGCCTTCTGTAGTAGAATCTTTATATAGAACTTTATGTGTTAATGCACCATTTCAGAACCTGTTTGTAGTTCAGTTCTGATCAGTTTCATAATTTGGTGAATTTCATCTTGTTTTACTGTTCCTGTGCCCTGAGAAAGAGGCAATTTGTCTCATCAGCTTGGTGGTGGCAAATTGGCAATAGCATAAGAACTTAGGCCAAACCCATTTGCCCATGGATTCTTGCGCCTAATTACGACCTGTATATAGTAGTTATAATGTTCAATCCAGTTGGGGTTGGGGTTGGGGCTGAGAAATTTTAAGAACTGCAGAGTTTAGAATATAAAGGTTATGGATTTATGGCCTACAGGAATGTGTATTAGAGAAGGTAGGTCTCCTTACGAAATGAACTATGAAGTTTTTCTTGTCAACAGATCTGTTTCTGTTATATTAAACAGAGTGGGAACAGCAAAGTTTTGTTCAAGCTTCAAAGGAATTATAATGAATGAGCAGGTGTTTGGTTTGTGTTCTAGATGGGTCAGCTATCTATGTAGTAGTAGTTGTTAAGTAAACCTGATTTGAGTTGTCTATCTTTTGAATCAGATGGCTTCGATCTGTATTTAATGGTCTTCAGGAAATATTCAGATACATTACACCCTGATCTGCTGCTTTTGCCAGCAGACAAGCTCTTGAGCTGTTCTGGAAATTTCAAGTTTGTATGCACTTGAACATGCTCAAAACATAGCAATTAGAAACCTATCTATCATTGAGAATACAAACCAAGTCCAGATCACGATGACACCAACCAATTCTTCTTTTTTTTTTGGTAAGAGAACCAATTCTTCTCCCACTTCAAGTGTAGAGACCTCCAAGGTAGCAATAACATGTTTACTCAACTCAAGTTTCTGAAAGAGTTTTCACAGCCTCACAGCCTTTGCTTGAGGCATCTCCGGCCCCATTTAATCATCTGCCACAAAGCAAAGGCTGCAACACATTTAGGTAAGCTGGATTGAATCGTATATACCTACTTAGATCCAAATTTGACTTGTTAAAATCTAAATCCAAATGCAACCCTACTGTCGAATTTTTATCAGATTCAAATTGAATTCAGATTGTAAGTAGCTATTTAATTGCATAAATAAATTTAAAAATATCAAATATTATTAATAAAATAAGGAAAAGGTTACAATTATTGTTTCCTTTTGCATGAGCTTATTACTTGAGAAATAAATAAAATCAACCCACAACCTAGTTCACCATCATGCTTATTGTCCAAATCACCCATGGTTTTCCAAACAGGACCGGACTGGACAGTTGGACCGGAAAGACTGGGAACCGGTAAGGTGACCGGTTCCGTTTTCCCCCAAAACCAGATTTTCTTTAAAAACCATTGATTTTGGTCAGCAAACTGCTAAACCGGGCGATTAACCATTTGAACCGTTCGAACGGTTTTGACTGTTTTTTATTTATTTTTTATTTTTTGTCAGAATGGGCTGAACGTTCGGTTTGAACAGTCGGACCGTTTGAGCTGATAACCGGACCCCTGACCAATTCGGTCTCCGGGTCGGTTTTAAAAACCATGAAATCACCATAACACACATATTGTATGCCGCATTATAATAATGATGTGGGGTGTTATAAGCGGAATCAAGTAAATATGTGTGTATGTTCTGTTTTTGGCTTCTCTTTATCTCTGTTCTACTTCATTTTTGTGTGTCATTCTTAATTTGTGTTTTCTAGGTTTTTTTTGTAACACAGCCATCAAGATTCAAGTAGGGCTCCAGATTCATTTCTTTTTCTAGAGTTTTGGATAAATCTATCTCAATTCTAAAACCAATATATATGATTTTATCCCCCATAGGGACCGTTGAGTAGCGTAGCACCACACCTCATAACCCTCCACCCCAAAGCTGGTGGTGGCAGTCAGACTCGAGCTAGCGAACATACCAACTGAGCCACCCATCAGTTGGTCTACAACTTTTACTTGGGTGGCTATTTTCTTCTCCAGGTTTGTCGCCTTGAACTCAAGGGATAGGGATAGACTATGTACTTGAATCCCAAATGGGCAAGAATTAATCAAATCTCAAGTCCTCTATTGTTTCGTATGGTTTCCATCTTGAAGAATGAACACATAGCTTGAGACTGACCAAGGTGCTTGGCGTAGAACATTTTGTAGATCCACATTGTGCACAAAGAACAAAAGCAGCCTGCTCCACACATATTCAGCTTTTAGCTTTCTTGATTCTTAGACTCATGAGACGATACTCTTACCCCCACCTCGCTTGTTTTTCTTTTCTTGGTAAATAAGGAGGTAGGTTCATCCAATAGAATAGGGAGAATTATTCTTTGAAAGTTGTTTGGCAAAATAAATTAGTGGAGGGTAAAATTGAAACTTAAGTCATATATGATAATGCCTTAACAATGATGAGTGTATTTTGATAACTTTAGTGTCTTTGTTACTGAAAAGCCAAGGGAAAAGATATATTTGCACTTTTTTTTTTCAAAACTATAGGGGAGGCCTTTGTTAGGGTCAAAACAGAAATGTGGTTTATAGATATAAGAGGAATTTTGTTATAATTTACATAAAAATAATACTAAATACTAACAAACCAATAAAAATTAATAAAAAATCAACATTGAGAAACAAAAAATAATACAAATTTATCTAGATCACAGGACATTGGCCACTTTCACTAAAGCGCAACTTAGATTGTGATGGGATAAACTAGACATAACCCCAAAATAATACTTGAATTAGACTTAGATGGGCACCACTTAATTGGAAATGTCATAGGGCTACATCCTCACCTTTGCTTATAAATAATGCCTGTGCATTTGCATGGGTCTGGACTAGTACTCAAATGTATGAATCAAGGTGAACCCTTTTTTTGGGGCCCATACCATGGAGAGCCTCCTTCATGAAGGGGGGGAGGGGGTATTATGTGACCATATCAACTATTGGGTAATTGGAAAACTTTTATTTGGGATTCCAAGCAAATTTGTGCATGTCAAATTAAGGTCTCACTACAAGAAAAATGAGTTTTAGTGATGGACGTATAGTGATGTTTGCCACTGTAAATATTTCTATAGTGATGAATTTAAAGTTCCGTAACTAAAAATACATTATTTAATGACGAAAAAACTTTTCATCACTATAAAGAGATTATAGTAACGGACGGTTTAAGCTCCATCACCAAATTGTGATTTATAGTGACGGAAAATTGAATGTTCATCAAACACATACACATATATATATAGTGACGTGCACCTTAATCACTGTCACTAAATATTGAGTTTCATGTAGCCATGTAGGTTTTAAACATGATACATATGCATATGCAAGCGAATCTTAATAGGGACAAAGTTAGGATTGTAAGAACGGATCCAAGTTCTTCATTCTAGTTGCTTCACTTGTTTTTTACAATTCAAATAAGTGCACAATTGTTTTATTAATTGCACCACCTTCAACCAAACAAGACAAGTGCAAATGCCAATGCAAAGTTAAACCAGATTTACACTCCCATGCATTTGCATTAGTGTAAATATAATTTGCATTGCAACCAAATGCAGCCATAGTGACAACAAGATTGTTATTATAGGGATCCAAAACCCAATATATTGACRGAGAGTATTGTCACTATAAATATCTATAATGATAGTACGGTCATATTTGTTACTATAGCAAAATTTTATAGTGACAAATGTAATTATCACCATAAGTCTAAAATTAGTAACAAGTTTTGAAATCCGTCCCTATAGGTAAATATTTATAGTGATGGTCATATGTTGTTTGTTACCATAACATGATTTTATAATGACGAATGTAACCGTTATTATAGGCCTAATACATTTGAAAATTGATATATGAAAACTTAAACAACTTAAATAAAAGATGTAATCTAAAACTCAATATATTAATATAAAGATTAATCATTATAATATCGAAAACAAATTGGTCAAATACACTTTATTGATCTCTGGTGTTTTTTCATGCAAGTGTTAGGTAGAAACCCATGGACAGTTTCTCTTGCTCTAGAATTAATATTTGCTTGATTTCCTTTCAAGATAGCTACTACTGGCTCCTTGTTTTGCACTACAGCTGCCACAACAACACCAACCATAATGTATCTCCAAATGGATAGCATTTGGTCTCTTGAAACTAAACCAAGTTGCCCTAGTAGAAGTTGTATAACTGGAACCTGTGAARGAAAAAATAGAAGATGATGGAAATGAGGTTGGTCTTCAAGTACCTATAAACATTAAATAGACTAAAAGAGATCCAACCAAATGAAAATGACAGAGTTGATGTAGCAGAACTTGAGGGTAATCATCATATAATGGTCATAAGACTTTCTCAATGTATATTTTTTAATAGTACTTAATCTCATGAGTTTGATTTGAAAATAAAAAACAATACCAAAACCTATGAATAAAATGAATTCATCTTGAAGTAACTAGAAATCCACTTGGTTCAACAAGACCCTGAATTGACTGCTCATCCCTAACTTTAGGTTGGTCAGGCTAGCATCTTAAGACCTTAAGTTGGGTTTGGTGAAAAATTTTCAATTCAAAAAGGGACTTACATTGGGAACTTAAGGGGCTGAAGCATCGGACAACTCTATCCACATTACCATCTTATGGCTGGCCCCAAGACAAGGTTCAAGGAAAAATTAATCAACTCAATCTTGAGCTTCATGGCTAACATCTTGTGGTGCGTAGTGTTAAGGACATGAATTCTATATGTTCATCAAATCTAAAGTTCTTAGCACAAATGCTGTGTTGAATATCAACATTACTTTTTAATACATTATATATTATTTAATTTGTTTAGAAAGCACTTTATTTAGTATATGTAACATATTTAGGGTCTTTTAAAACTCTTTTGTTTGTTTTATACTAAAAGATCTTCAAAGTGCTTTTATAAAARTATATTTGTAAAAGTACTTCCGTAAAAATGCTTTTATAAAAGTA